GTTCGATGGTACAGAGAAAAGAACCCCCTACACTCTTCCAAATTCTTCATTGACCACTCACAGAAAGACCCCACACATCGAGTCCACAGGGGCAAAAGCAGACAAAAGAAGCAAGAAGCCTCCTCAGGCAACAAACTATGCATTCAATTACAACATATACCACAACTTATCATTGCAGTGCTCCGACTCAACTACTTCACTGTCGGTACGTCACTTATTGAGCAATTTCGCGGTGCACCTATGGGCTCGCCCTGCAGCCCAGCCCTATGCAACATCGTTGTTGCGGTCGAGGAACAGTGTTGGCACCACACATACAAACAGCTTTTCACGAATCACAAGCATTTTCCAGATCACAACAAGCAGGATCAAGCTTTCTTTTTTGCTACCAGATACGTTGACAACCGCGTCCTTCTTTTACCTGCACAGCTGACCCGACTGCCTCCTTTTGCACAGCTCACTGATGCATCTTTTTACAAACCACCGGTTCAGCTTGAAACTGAACCGGCCAACATTTTCCTGGGTTTCGCAATAAACCCTCAGCACAGCAGCCTCACGCATCAATGCACTTTGCACAAGGCGGACATTTTGCACCCACAGTCAGCCACCTCTGTTTCAACACTGCGCAGCAGTTTTCAGGCCCGCACACGCATGGTACGCAGAGTGACAACACCATGCAGCGAGGCCACATTAGCCATTCGAGCCATGCGCGATCTCTACATCGCTGCCGGCTATACTGATCAACAGCTGTAAGCAAAACACTGCGCCAGCTTGCCGTGCGTGGGTCCAGAGCCGTGCAATTTTGCAACATGAGAGCAGCCTTGTATTAACACAGTGTTTCCCGCAGCCATTTTCAGGGTTAACTGAGGCATCATCATGTATAAAAGTGCCATGACTGGCAGATTGCAGCCGAGCCACAAAGCGCTGAGCGGCCGTCCTCGGCCATCCATCTCCAAGCACAGCAGACGCCGCAACGAGCAACCTGCGGTGGGCAGCCACAACCCACAGCCGGCGCTTTTGCGCTCTCAGTTTCTACGTGTTGCAGAAGACGAAGATTTCCAAGACTACCAAGAGCAACACCAAGATCCGGAAGAACAACAGGACGCAGCAGTGGCTGCACCGGCGACTCCGCCATTTCCACCTCCGCATCACCCTGAGCCGGATTCATCGGCTGAGATTATGGCAGCAATGACGCAGTTTCACAATTCGTTGCTTGAGTCGAATGCCAAACTCGAGCGCCTGATACAACAGGCTACAACGGTGTTGACTACTCAGCACGAGGCTACCACGGCGATCCTCTCCTCGTGCAAACAGCAGCTCGACGTACTTGAAAGCCTCATCAGGCAAAACGCGCCTGATTGGTCGTGAATATGCTGCTAAGGCAAGCCGGTATAAAAAGTGCCAGGTAGTGCATAAGTCTCACTTTTCAACACATGTTGCTTTCAGACAATACCATAACTCTGCCTTCTGAAGTTTTGCCTCACAGTGACACCTATTTGAATCCCGACATCGAGCCATGAGCGACTCACCTCTTCCGCCAAACACAGCGACTACAGATTCGCCACCCGTCGATGAGGCACGACGTGAAGCTCTCTCCGCAGCCCTCATGGAGATTTTGACACAGCATCGGGACTATGAGTCCGAAACCGGAAGTGAACCTTCCACATTCAGTGACGAGGCTCTACGCGACCAATTAGCCGAGTTTATTCTGCAAACAACCCGGCAGATTACAGAGCTAAAGCAACGAGTGGAAAGACTCGAAGCTTCGCAACAATAGGTGATCAAACATGTTTTATACCACCATTGGGTGATTGCAGCAGACGGTGAAAACAACAATCGTTGTTTTGCCAAGTGAGACAGCCAGTGCACTCTCTTCACATGTGCTTGTATGCAGCGATTGATACACTCTTTCCCGCAGCATTTTGCAAAACAACCAGTTGTGTTAGCACCATGGACCGACGCACCAGATCGCGATCTCCCACGGCATCACAATGGAGATGGCACTGGGCCACTAACGGCTCTTCATGGTGGCGTGAGTACTTCATCGCATCTGCGGAGTGGATACGAAAGCATTCGGAGCAACCTGATCAGCTTCCGACATCAACGACTCCTACCCAAAAGGAGCCAGCTTCCACTACATCAACTCCTACATCCAACAAGAGAAAGCGATCAAGAACTCCGTGAGCAGCATCGCTGAGTTGACAATTAGATGCACATTTGCTGCCCCCGGCAGCCAACAACCACACAGCAAAGCTGTGATGTGAACCCCATCATCCCTGATGAGGATCAACATTAAGAGCACCATGTTGAAAGGTCATGCCAGCCGGTGAGGTTGCCCAAGTGATGTATCTTTGTATATCTCTCTCTCTTTTCTGACGATCAGCGTATGCGCACGCCTTAATGCAGTTGTGACTCCGCAGCCATTTCTCTGAACTACAGTTGTTGTAACATATTTAGGATCGCACACAGATGGACGAAGACGACGACAGCAGCCTATGGGGATCCGAAGAGATTGATGCTTTTCTGAGGAAGGATGACACCGCCACATCTTCCCATGCAGTCAGTCACACACACAAGCAAAAAACAAAGCACACAACGAAGACAAAAAAGAAGAAAGACAACAAAGACAAAAAGGACAAAACAGTCGTGAAAACAAAGAAAACCCGCAACATCTCACCAGCATCCCAATCCACAACACAGCAACAACGCCAACATCCACATACTACAAGACGAAAGAGGACACGCTCTTCGCACTCAACATCATCAGCGTCACCTACGGCAACGTCACACATGGCTGAGGACGTACACCGATCTCCATCGCGAGATCCTTGGTCTTCTGACTCGATTGCACCTTACGATATTGTGCATCCTATTATTCAGCATAAGCGGTCCAAAACCGCTTGTGCAAAAATGCTGGTACGTGCAGGTTTCAGATGTAGATGCCATTTCAAGATCATGAGTGACTGTCCCAACAAACTCGATGTTGGATCCTAATTCTCAGGACGGAGTAGGGCTGCAAGATCCGCTAAGCGTGACAAAAAGCCTGCGCATGCGAGTGTCAGCAAGACACCACTTGGTTGTTTCTCCTGAGCACACAGCATGTCCATGTTGGTTTGCATTCCTTGTTCAAGCGTTTGTCGGTTGGTAGCAGCAAAATATGACAAAGCGAAAGGCTGCCGAGGCCGGCCTTCCATGGTACTCCATGGCAGGACAATGTTTTCGGATGACTGTTGAAATTCCACCCGACCGCATCACCAGAGACAAGCACATGCTCTTACATGTGGTGCTTTGTCTGGGTGACAACGTTCTACAAGCTCGCAAGATCTTCTCCTACCGCATCAAGGAGATCACCGGCAGAACTCCTAAAATCCCAGCTTTCTTCTGCGAACAAAACCGTCGACGACTACATGATTGGGATTCAGTCACCACATTAGCCACGTTGAAGCCGGTGCTTTTTGTTAGAACCTGTTCGGATCAGGAAACACGACAATCACCCGACCGCTAGTGACAGCGAGAAAAGTGCGCCACTCACTCTTTTTGCCATGGATCAGACATTTCACTCTACTTGAAGCATGCACGCCCCATTGGGGCTGTGTGTGTGTGAACCTCCCTAGCACATGGGAGCAGAGGGTCACTCCTACACTGTTTGCAATTTTCGCTTTGCAACTCAATCAGACATTTGACATTTACCGAATCAAATGTTGCAGGGGGCCAGCGCATGGTGTTGTGACGCTGGCCAACGAAGCTAGCAACACCATGGGAAGAGGTTTGGGACGCCAAACCTTGTACCTGCACAAAATTGAGCTGGGGCCCCTGTGCCAGCCCGATTAGAAGGCCCCTGTGCCAAGATTAGAGAGTTTTCAGTTGCCACTTTTGGCGGTTGATTCGACAACAAACAAGTTGTACGGTTGCCACAATCTGACAAGCTTTTGCAACATGAACAACATGCCTCTCTTTTTCCTCTTGCACTCGTACTCTTGGCCGAATCCATCAGTGTGTGTGTCAGCAGAGTCGGTACGAGCTCTTGCCGAAGTCGAGCTGCAAACTGTGCACCATCCAGGTCCGAGGAGCCACTTTTGTATATAGATGGAACACTTCTGAGATTTCGAGTTTCAGAACGTAAAAATTAAAAAGAACTTAGTGTCAAGACGACTGTGCAATTGTCGTTGGAAAGCTGCATTTTTGCATTATCGCTCGGACTGTGCGATTCTAAACCCTTGCATCTTTCGGTTGTCCGAAAATCTATTATCACGTATCTCAAAGTTGCATACTATAGGGGCCTTAATAATCAGAACGGGGTTTTGGGGTCCATTATACTGTAATTATAACAAGGAACCCCCAAAATGGTATAGGTAATTTTTGAAGCTGTTCCACATTGTCTCCCTTAGAAGAGGGTCCCTTTTTTGGGATACCCTAAATAATCGGTGCCGTACTATATTAGGGACCCAAAAAGGGACCAACAGATCTTAACCTCAGAACTCTGTCTACAAGTTTAGGTTGTAGGCCTTCTGAATTTCAACCCACGCCTTCACGTCACAGGGGTGTCCGGAGGACCCAAAATTTAGAGCTCGTGAGACTTTCGGCATTTTGGGAAAAGACTTAAGTTTTCCAACCCTAGAATTGTCAAATTCCAAAGATCCTGACAGTCTCGCACCTTTCCTAAACCCTAAACACTAGAATTGTCAGATTCCAAAAATCCTGAATTTTATCTGTTGCTATAATTCCAGTTTCAGGGGTTCCTGAAACTTTGACATGCCAGTCCACTCCCCCACACAGCGAGCACGATACCCAAATGAAGACGTACATACATCTGTATATATATATATATATATATGATACCCCGGTCGAGATATCCACCATATATGGTGCCCCATATACATAAATGAATATATATATATATATATATATATAGATAGATAGATAGATATATAGGTAGATAGATAGATAGATAAAATCATATTTTTATATATCACATGCACATATACAGCTTCTGGGTCCATGGCCGTCTTCTGCGCTTTTGCGCCGAGTGGATATCCACTGAAGCTCCCCGCACCTGGGAGTTTCCGAACATGTTGGGGTCGTAGGGTACCGTCAAAGGGATCCACGAGGGTTCCTTAAAGGGATCTATAAAGAGTTTAGGGTTAGGGTTGCCGAAAGTTGGGGGAAACTCCCACCTGGCAAAGCCGTGACAGAGCGCGCTGAACGCGGTCAGAGCCCCGTTGAACCTCGCTGCAGGCACCAGCACTCTGCCACAAGCATTGAAGAAAGAGACATGGCCCTAAACCCTTAAACTGTCAAGCCCAAGCCCGTAAGCTTAAACCCCGAAACTCCAAAGCCTGAAGCTCCCTTAAGCCCTATACCCTAAACTCTAAACCCCAAAGCACCCTGTCTCCAAGCAGCTCCCCAAGAGATCCGCCCTTGCTGGGATGGAGCGCCAAGGCTTGCGGAACGAACATTCTCCGCAACCTCAAGGAGCCGAGAATGAGTGTCAGACCACCGTAAGAGTACTTCTTACGAGCCTTAACAATTAGAGAAGGAATTTGGGGTACATGATACTATAAGTATAAGGAGTATCTCTAAGGGTAAGGGTTTCGAGGGTTTTAGGGGTCAGAGCACTGAAAACCACCGTAAGAGTACCTCTTAGGAGCCTTCAGAATTAGAATAAGGCTCCTTCTAAAGGGCCCCTATAAGAAATACCATAACCCGGTTCTATATAGGAGCCTTAATAATTAGAATAGGGTTTTGGGGTACATTTTACGAAAACTATATTAAGGAGTATCTCTAAGAGTAAGGGTGGGGGGGTTTTAGGGGATTCAGAGTAATGTAGAGGCCTGAATAATTAGAACAGGGTTCCTGTAAAGGGTTCTGAAAAAGGGCCTATTACAGACCCATTATTCTAAGTAGTACCTCTTAGGGGTAATACTTAGAATAAAGGATCTATAAGGGTTATTATAAGGGCTACCACAAGGGTTTATTGTAGGACCTTAAAAATTGGAACAGGGGTTCGGGGTATAGCATACTACGACTCTAGTCAGGAACCCACAAACCCCGCTTTAAATTATTAAGGCCCCTACATTACCTCTTCGGGACTCCTCCTGTTTCCTGCGTAGTAAGCTCTGCAGTGCTCCTTACAGTAACTGCTTGCAGAAGCTTCTCTATGCCACCCCTTAAAGGAAGACCCAAACCCTTGTAGAAGGTTCATGCCACTAAGCCCTAACAGAATCATGCCACCACACCCTAAGCCTAAACCCTAAACCCTTACGGAACCCTTGCAGGAACCCTTGAAGCAACCCTCTTTATCCCCCAAAGGGGCCCTTTAAAGGAACCCCCAAAGCCTTGTAGAAGCTTCTTAAACCCTAAACCCTAAACCCTAAACCCTAAACCCATGCCGCGACACTCTTCAAGCGAGGTTGCAGTCAAGAAGAGGGCGGCTCCCAGGCTGCGATGCTCCTAGCAGCTTAGGGTTTCTTAAAGGTTTCCTTAAACGGATCTGTAGGGTTCCTTTAAGGGATCTATAGGGTTCCTTTATGGGATCTATAGGGTTCCTTTAAGGGATCTATAGGGTTCCTTAAAGGGATCTTTGGGGTTTAGGGTTTAGGGTACTGCTTGGAGGATCAGGGGACTTAGGAAGTAAGGTTCTACGTCCCCTAATTGGGGTTATAAGTACTTGTAAGTATAGTTACCTTATTTATAACTCTAACTATATACTAAGTCCCAGGATCCTTTTAAGTAGCAGCTTAGGGGCTTAAGGTTTCTTTTAAAGTTCAATTAGAGTCCAAAGCAAGCACCTAAGCAAAAATTAGTACAGGGATGCCCCATATACCCCCCCCCCCCCCCTTATAATGAAGCCCAAACAGGTATGTGCTTTTTGGGTCAACGATCAATGACTCTTTCTCCACAGCTTAAGGGTTAGGGTTTTGAGTTTATGGGACTGAAGGGCTGGGGTTTCGAGTTTGTAGGACTTAAGGGCTACTTGGCGGACTTCTGAACCCCTCCTAGAAGCTTAACTTTTAGCCTCCCTATTATAGTTCATATAGAAACCCAAAAAGTTAAAGTCTAAAGAGCCAACCAGAAGAACGCCAAGGCTATAGGGTGTAGAGTCTATAAGACATAAAGGTTGTAGAGCTTAGGGTTTGGTGGCTTAGGTTTTAGAGTTTGGGGTTGTTGGCGGCTTTGGGTTTAGGGTCGAAACGCGAGCCCCCCCGGCACCACGAGTTCCAAATATACCGGTCCGGGTTTGGGGGTTTAGGGGCTAGGGTGTATAGGACTTAAAGGTTGAGGGTTTAGGGGTTTAGAGTTTAGGGTCTTTGGCGTGGGGTTCAAGGTCGAAATGCGAGCATGAACTCCAAAGGGACCGGTCCCTGCCTGGTATTTGGGAGCCACTGCTTCCTCCCTTTCTTTCAGGCGACCTCGTTGTCCAGAGAACTCCCAAGTCCAAAGTTCATGCAAACTAAAACCAAAATATGTACAGTAGCCATAGTCATATCAAGAATAATAATGCTAACGGTAATAGTAATAGTGTTTGCGTTAGTACGTTACCCGAATTAGTAGCAGTGATAGTCATAGTAATAACAGAAATAGTAATAGTGCTAGTGGTAGTAGTAGCATTAGTAAGAGTAGCAGGGATAGTAATAGTAAGAGTAACAGCCACAGGGATAGTAGTAGTAATAGCAACAGTAACAGTCGTCGTAGTAGTAGTAGCAGTAGTAGTGGTAGTGGTAGTGGTAGTGGTAGTGGTAGTGGTAGTGGCAGTGGCAGTGGCAGTGGCAGTGGTACTGGTAGTGGTAGTGGTAGTGGTAGTGGTAGCAGCGGTAGTGGTAGTAGTAGTGGCGGTGGTAGTGGTAGTGGTAGTAGTAGTAGTAGCAGCAGCAGCAGTAGTAGTAGTAGTAGTACTACTACTACCACTACTACTACTACTACTACTACTACCACTACTACTACTACTACTACTACTACTACTACTACTACTACTACTACTACTACTACTACTACTACTACTACTACTACTACTACTACTACTACTACTACTACTACTACTACTACTACTACTACTACTACTACTACTACTACTACTACTACTACTACCACCGCAGGACGAAAGTTCGCCACACGGCCTCGAAGTCAACACTTGAGACACTACAACCCCCTTTCTCCTTTTGACTCCTCCACAAGATCCCAGAAGCTCTCCGCCCAGAACATTATATATAGTAGTATGATATATTCCAGTAAATTAGCTACTCCGCCACGCTTGCCACGTAAACCGGACCTTTTTCCACCCCACTTCTCTGCGGTATATGTTCATGTAATTTTGAGAATATCCTCTGTATGTCGAAACTTTTGTCCCGGTGCTGTAGTAGTAGTAGTAGCAGCAGCAGTAGTAATAATAATAACAATAATTATAGTAGTAGTAGTAGATCATAGCAAAAGTCATAGTCATAGCCATAGTAAAAGTAATAGGAACCGAAGTGGTAGTGGCAAAAGTCATTGGTATAAGTTATAAGGATAGCAATGAGAAATACGGATCGGAATAAAGACAATAATTAGGAGCGCAGGAGCATCAGAAACGTCAGCTGGACGTGCGGCAAAGACGCATGCGCTCTGATCCATGAGATATCTTGCTTCGGTTTAGCCTCACCACCATCGCCAAACCAGCCACGCGTGCCACACCTCGCAGCTTCAGAGAGCCGCATCAACTGGGTTTCGGGTCACGAGGCTTTAGCATCGAGGTGTGGAACTGTTCCGTTCAAGTCAAGCCACACCCCAAGCAATGGCTGAGCGTGGAAGAAAGCCAAGCCTGCGGGAATGGTCATAGGCAGGCTCTCGCGGGCCAGAGGATTCCAGGAGACATGAGTGTCCGAAAGTAGGGGACTCGAATATAGCACCCTAAATAGTAGGATCCCTCTCATAAGGACCCCAAATAAGGTATCCCCAATCTTCGCACACCCCCACATAGGTAAAGGCTGCCACAGGAGTCTCCTAAACGTAACGCGAAGTCTTACTACTTGCAGATCAGTGGCATGGTGAAGCTTGTGGAAACGAAGGAAAGCTTGGCGACGGTTGCAGACGTCATTGCCTTGTGTCGCAAAGCTATGAACCGTAAACAGCTGCTTGTTAATATAGGGGCCTTAATAATTAGAATAGGGTTTTGGGGCCCATTTTGCTACAATTATACCAGGGAACCCCCCAAATTAGTATAGGTAATTATTAAGGCCCATTCTTCCAACCATCCAACCTCAGCCAAGTCGCTGGAATATCAAAGCTGCCGAATGGCAGACACTGTGGCTTGAGGCCGCGAAATGCTGCAGGGCGGTGACGTTTAGGGTTTAGGGTTGATGGTTTGGGGTTTAGGATTTAGGGACTTTAAGGCAGGTGCCAATTGCGAAGGCACATCACTTCTGTCCGGCACTGGCGCTGGGGCCCGCACATGCGGCAATTACTCATGGCACTCACATGGCACATCCCCCTAAACCCTAAATCAAACCCCTGAAAACCTAAACCATATACCCTAAATCCAGAAATACCTAAAAGCCCTGAAACCCTAGACCACGGCTTGGGCTTCCTTGAGAAGTCGCTGCGAGAGACGGGTGAGTCTGCGCAAACTGCGTCCTTCACCATCTCGTCATCAGGGTTTAGTGCTTAGGGTTCGGGAATTTTAAGGATTTCGGCTGTAAGGTCTGGGGTTAGGGCTTAGGGCTTGAGGCTTAGGGTTTAGGGTTTTCGCTTGATCTTGCTCGAGCGTGTTCAACGCGTCTCTTCGATGGCGTGGCTAGTATTATGGTTACGAGTAGGCAACACTCATGATTAACCATTAGTCAGGGAGCACATGGGTTGTTTCTTTTAATCATTTCCTAATAGCTTATTGACGATGAATTCGATTGCGATGTTGTTTGCTCATAGTACTGTCAGTCTTACTCTCAGTACTGATCATAACAGTTACTACCTTTCATGTTCGTAAGTACCGGTCAGTAGTACGATCTTCAATTCGCGCTTCCCCTGCGCTATGCAGTGCGGTATGTGGCAGCTTTTTGCGACTTCCGACTCCGACAGCATCCCCACCAAGTCGACCAGATCCTGAAACAGATGGGGCAAAAGACAGAGAGTGAGGCATAACGTTGCTTTAGGGGCCCTATAAGAAGCGTTAACGGTTTAGGGACCTCAACCATCAGGAAGGAGGTGATGATGCTGGCTGCCACACCTACCACGCCCACCATTATCACCACTACCACCACTATCTACCACTATTTAACGACCACTGACCACCCCGACCACCACCACTGCCACCACCGCTACCAAGACTACTGCGACTACGATGACTACGACTACAACGACGATGACGACGACGACTACTACCACTACTAACTACTACCACTACCACTACCCCTACCACTACTACTACTACTACTATTACTACAACAACTACTACTACTACTACTACTACTACTACTACTACTGCTACTACTACTACTCCTACTACTACCACTACTACTACTACTACTACTACTACTACTACTACTACTACTACTACTACTACTACTACTACTGTACTACTACCACTACTACTACTACTACTACTACTACTACTACTACTACTACTACTACTACTACTACTACTACTACTACTACTAGGCCTTCCCCCCCTGGAGCGACGCCGGTCGCTGAGTTCGTGGATGTAACAATAATGCTGGATGCTGCTGATGTGCGGTTCTTGCGCCTCTACTCGTTATTGAACTAGTGAACCACAGAGTAAGCTGTTAGAGAGCAGTGGAAAGTACCATCCCCGCTCGGTGCGATGCAAAGAAGCAACATTTCGAAAGGTTTTGGACATGGATGCTCTCCAAACCAAAATGCGCTAGACCATGGACGTCATTAGGTTTTGGACATGGATGCTCTCCAAACCAAAATGCGCTAGAACATGGACGTCATTAGGTCATTAGGTTTTGGACATGGATGCTCTCCAAACCAAAATGCGCTAGACCATGGACGTCATTAGGTTTTGGACATGGATGCTCTCCAAACCAACGATTTGAATGAAAATCATGATCAAAATGAGGCCCAAAAAACCTTGATTCTGATCGCTAGGTTTTGGGCACGAAAATCGAGACACCCAAAAACAGTAAAAAATCATGAAATTCGCAAAGACAAGTGCTGTAAATACCAGCATTTTCGGGTGCGAGATTGATGAACAATGTTAGAAAATATGATAAAAATACACACGAAACCAGGAACAGTTGCCACTTTCGATAACTGCGGAAAAAAAGTGCTGTAAAACACAGCATTTCCGACCACAGCAAGTCCCAAAAATAAGAGGTTTGGGCGTCGCACCGGGGGGGGAAACCCTACTACTACTACTACTACTACTACTACTACTACTACTACTACTACTACTACTACTACTACTACTACTACTACTACTACTACTACTACTACTACTACTACTACTACTACTACTACTACTACTACTACTACTACTACTACTACTACTACTACTACTACTACTACTACTACTACTACTACTCTACTCCTACTACTCACTCTACACTCCGACTACTGCCTACTCCTACTCCTTGACTGCTACTGCGCTGCTTGCTGCTTGCTGCTGCTACTGCTACTGCTACTGCTACTGCTACTGCTACTGCTACTGCTACTGCTACTGCTACTGCTACTGCTACTGCTACTGCTACTGCTACTGCTACTGCTACTGCTACTGCTACTGCTACTGCTACTGCTACTGCTACTGCTACTGCTACTGCTACTGCTACTGCTACTGCTACTGCTACACTGCCACTGCCACTGCCACTGCCACTGCCACTGCCACTGCTACTGCTACTGCTACTGCTACTGCTACTGCTACTGCTACTGCTACTGCTGCTGCTACTACTACTACTACTACTACTACTACTACTACTACTACTACTGCTTCTACTATGTACTCCTACAGCTGCTCCCACTCCGACTCCTATGCCCACTCTTACTCCAAATCTACTACTACACTGCTATGACGACGACTACGCCGACGACGACGACGACCAAGACGATGACGGCGACTGCAACTATGACGACCACCGCCGCTGCGACTGCTACCACAGCCAAACGATGCAAGCGTTAGGAATATCCATCGTGATACCGAACTTACAAGGACTTAACCGCTTGAGAAAGAGCCACTTTAACACGTTTCATGATCGCACTGTAGTGTGGCATATCCATGTCTCTGCGGCATGTGCAAGCCCCAGCAGCACAGCCTAGAGTGTGAGCAAAGCCCCACCGTCTCCTGCTCTTCAGTGAATCTGGCGCTTAATGCGAGGGCTGAAGCAGAACAAGAGATAGTTGACCTTTCAACGCTGTGAGAGAAAGGCTGCACGGCTTGCTGATGAACGAGAATCTCAGCTCCACGCCTGGCAAACAAGACGAGTGAGCGAGGATGCTCCCTCGACTTCCGAAAAGGAGTCGGCGCGAGTAAGACGCGACATTGAAACTTCATGGCATGTCTTTAGACAGTTGCCTCTCAAAGTCAGAGTAATGCTCTTTAATTCAATAAGCTTCGCCAGGCTGAGCCCGCCCAGCTGTGTGAGACTCAGAGATACTCAGAGAAAACTCCGCCGCGTCTTGAAGCGGACATGCGTCTGAAAACTGACCACAGTTGACTTTCAGCTGCTTCAAAAGCAAAGTTGAGCCATGAAGTTTGGCATCTTGAAGCAGATTGAGAGCAGAAGAACAAGATACTGGCACCTCTGTGGTCCAAGACGATTAATGCAGGATGTTGGCTGCATTGCAGCCTGTGTCTATCAGCAGAACAGGGCCTGCCTCCAGAAGTCATGGACTGTCCTCCAGTAGTCTTCCTTGGACAGAGGCGCGCTTGGGGAACAGACTGACACCTCCGTGAAATGCCATGGGGTCGACGTGATCGCATGGTCTGCTGGCTTCCGGAGGTCAATCCTAAACTCTCAACCCTAAAAACAGATTGTAGATCCCTCATCGAACCCTTAAAGATCATTGCAATGGAACCCTAAAGCCCAAACCCTGGACTTGCGTGCGGGCAGGCAGCTTCTGTAGCGCCGCTGCGGTGCGCTACGTGGCCAGAGTGGTCGAAGCACAGCTGCCGTGGCTCGGGGGCCTCCGCAGCTCCGCAGTTTACCTTAAACTACATCATAACTTGCCTAGAGTCTCCATTGTGGTTCCTTTTTTGGCCAGCTTTATGGCCAGGATCCTAAATTAGAGGTTTTGGTTAGCCCAAAAAAGGAACTACAATGGAGACTATAGGTGGGCCATAACCTACTTTGCCCGGTAAGACCTATTTAGACATCAAAACCAATCTACCGGAAAACTCTGAGAATCCTTGAGCATCCCTGTGAATAGAAGACAAAGAGATCAATGGAAACCACAAACCCTAAACCCTGAAGCCAAAAAAATCCTTAACCTTAAACCCGAAACCCTCCACCCTAAAACTCGAAACCGTAGAGGACCAAACCCCAAAAGCCCTAAGACACTGCTGGCCGCGAGTTAGAACAGTTCTAGGCTCTGTGAGGAAACCTTAAAGGATCCCTCTGAACCCTGAACGAAGATTTTTAACGGAAAACCCCAAAACTTAGGTACTTCCCGCACTCAGAATT